ACAATTTATGAAGGATGGTTTGTTACAAAGCTAGTCAAGCAGGACCTCTGTCTGTGCCTGTGTGTGCTTGTTGGGAACTGGCTGTAAAACTCAGCACCCCCTTCCTGAATACCATGCCAGTGGTGCTGCCTGCAGCCTGCAGTAGCAGTTCTTGGGAACCAAGCCACATATCTAACAACATCTTAAAACTGATTAAATTGAAGGGAAAATAAGTTACTTAAGTAAGTGACTGAGAAATATTTTTGATTTACTGCAATGAATGAATGATCTCTATTACTAAAAGTTTATTTTATACAAATGCAGGCATGGCTGGGTTCTTTGTCCAGATGACATTTTCTCATCTGGTTGGGAAACTGCCAAGACTCAAGGGTTTTGTGGCTGTCCAGTGACCTAATGGACACTTACCATTGTTTAATCCCAAGAATACCCCATATAGACCAAATACCTTTACATTTGTTATTGGTAAGGTCTTAATAGGAAATTAAGGTTTTCCTTAAAATGAGGTTTTAAAAATGAATTTCATGATGGAAAAATGTTTCAAATAAATGAAATACACAGGAAAAAAAAAAGATTGTCATTTAAAAAGATTTCTAAATAGAGGAGCCATGGGAGAAACTAAGCATGTGACTTGCTTAGTAGCAGTAGTCACATTTGCTTTTCTAATTCACAGATTAAATATTTGGGATATCAAGTTTTGTTTTTGTCTTTTTCAGAAGAGAGAAGCTTACAAGAAGCTTAAAGATTTAGAGCATTTCTCTCTTTATTGATTAAAATCATTGCCCAAGGCTCTTTGTTGGTAAGGTGAATATGCAGGACCCAATTCTTAAGTAGTTACCAACTTAAAAAATTATGTCTTCAGAGAGAATTGAAAGGGAACTGGCGTGTGTTTATATTTTTTTCTTTTCTTTCTTTCTCTTTTTTTCCTTCCTTCTTTTTCAGACTGCTGTTATATCAAAGAAATGCTAGTTTTTGTACTCTGGAGGTGAATTAATCTCTCTCTGGGTGTATCAATTTCCTCATCTGTATAGTGGGGATAATAATAATATTACCCACCCTATTGAGTTTTGAAAAGTAAAGATGTATTGTTCTTAGAAAACTATTTGAAACTCAGTAAGACCTCAAATATTAACTATTGTTATTAATATTAAAATTAGAAAGACTTTATAAACATGTTTAAATATGGATTTACAGTAAGAAATAACAGAATAACAATACATATGTATATCATCTTAGTAAAATTTGATGTTTTTCATCCATCCTTTCACCTTGCCCTTATACTGCATGGTGCTGTGTTTACTGCATGGAAACCTTCTAAGACAATGTCAGAATTAATGTTTATTAATATGATTAACTGTCCTAGCTAATTATAGTAAGACTGGTTAGTTCTTCAGGAATTAGGCAACATTAAAATACCTCATCACTGGTTTTTGCTGCATTGCTGTCTTCCTTAGGGGCCCTAGGGCCTGTGAGGGTGGCTATTGGATATCTTAGGCAGGCAGCTTGTCTTTCCTCTTCCTCCTCTTCAATGTGTAGGTGTGACGTCACCTCTGTGCCATCATGGCCATAGCACAAGGCATCTGGATGTTGAGATTCTGGCCCTCTTCGCGTGCCTGCCCTGACCCCCTCATAGACTTCCTCATCTTCCTCTCCAATGACAGGGAGGGTTTGGGGCAAGGGACCAACGCCAGGGTGTGTGCAGGTCACAAACTTGTCACCTAGGACCTCCAGTACCTTCTCTGGGCCTTCAGAGCCCGCTCTCGTTTTTGTCACATTTGCAGACTGGTTTGGAGGTGTCTTTCCAGAATCCTGAAGCATCGTGGCCTCAGGAGGCCAGGCTGCAGCTGAAGTCATAGCTGAGCGGAGCAAAGGCAGCTGAGAGGAGCGGCCTCGGGCAGGTGTGGGTGCTCGCGGCCATGGGGGGAGGATGGAAGGGTCCTCCTTAATCTCAAGGCTGATCTCCTCCGGGGTATCTGGTTTGGCTGGGTCATCTGGTAAAGCTAAAGCACCAAGCTTCTCTAATTCGTCCAAGAACTTGTCCAGAAAATGAGGCGGCGTTGGGGCTGAAGGATTTATCAGTGCACCCTTGGCTGGCAGGGACAGCCACCCTGGGGTGGTTCCCTGGAGAGCGACGCTATCAGGGTCACGTGAAGCTTTGTGCAAGAGAAGGGGGCCTGGTTCACTGGAAGCCAGCTTAGAGATGAGCAGGGATTATGAAGTTACAGAAAAGATGAAAGTAAAAATAATGCATCAAGACACAGAGACAGAAATGCAAAAAGACATGGTGGTGAATATAAAAAATATGTTATGCTACGGTGTAGATTGGCTGTTAGTTTTAGAATTTAAATACATAAAATCCTTAGCATATTAATTAAAGATTGATCTGAAGTATGCCAGCATTTGGAAAAGGTCCATTAAATGTCAAACAACAAGGTAAAGCTGTCATAGAGATTATAAAGACAGGAAAATATTTAGAGATTTAATAGTCTACTTCTTTCAAAATAGGTTTCTAGATATTGATTTAATATAAATAACTCTGGAATAATGTTAATGTAGAATGAAAACCAACAATTAAGCCTTTTTTTATTCCCAGAATTTGTTTAGTGTTCTTCCTGTGCCAAATCTTTTGAACTTTCATCATTTTCTCACTTACGGTTGCGAGGTGATTATAGCATATGGCACATAATATTTTTACATCATTATATGTTAACACATTTCTAAATGAATAAGTTCTGAGAAAGATTTTTTTTAAGAAGAGAAACTTATGATCAAAATGAGACTGAACTTGCATAACTACTACTTCAAAGTTTTAAAAAATCCAGAGTAAATGTTTATACAGAAAGGGAGCATGTGATGTGAACAGGAGTAAACCTCTAGTAGGACTTCCATTCTCTTTTTCAAAAGCTTGACATTTTATGTAAACTAGTGGAGGTCTAATTTATGAAACTTAATCTCCTGAAGTAAAAAAAAATATTTCTGTATATCTTAATATTACTACTGCATTTTGGATGTACTGAACAAAACAGAATTTTTATTCATTAAAAGTTGTTCTTGACGTGTGCCTAGGAACATTCTAATACATTTATATATTGTTTTTGGACTAGGAAGAATGTTACATGCTGCACATGTGAAGTATTTGAGACAGGCTGGCGGAAGACATTTTACTTTGGCTCTTTCCAAGTAGATGATTGGGGTTTGGAAAGAAAAACATCTTCAAGAGAGATTGTACTTTCTGGCTGACTGTTTTGAATGACATGTCACTGGTGCACTCAGCACTCTTGGTCCTTGGGCCTTAGTATGGATGAGCGCACAGTGAATTCTGCAGTTAATTTTGAATTCTATCCTGTAAGAGGAATGGGGTTTAATAGAATTTATCTAGATTTTTTTTTTTTAAAAAGGAAATGTGATGTCACATCACCATGGGGTGGAATAAACGAGACAAAACGTCACAAAACATTTATGAGCATCCTTATAGAAGATTCAAGATTAAAGGCTACATAGCACCTTTTCGTGCCAGGAATATGATGTGGCTGAGGAAGAAAGGTCTTTAAATTCCATTATTGTCATGACTACCACTACACCATTACTACCACCGTTACTACCTGTTACTACTGCTACTGCAATGCCATTACCACCACCGTCACTAATATACATGTTAACGGTTTCAAAGTGCTTAGCCTTACCATGGGCTTGCTTCTACTGAAAGTTAAATCGAGTGCCCTGAGATACCTATATCACAAAAAATATACCTGTGGTACAAGCATCATATAATTATCTTATCTTCTAAATGCATTAGAATTGGATTCTACTCTACTAAAAGCAGAAATATCAGAAATAATACCAACTTACATTTGAACCTCTCCTAAATAAAGATAATATGTCTAAAGAAATGTGATCGGAGTATGTTCAAGAGTGATTCATAAATCATAGTGAATTCCCTTCTCTATTTACAAAGATCAGTTAGAAAATAGGATATTTAACATTTAGTTTGTTTTGGGTGTCATGGTTTAGAAGTACATTACAGTTTTTTTTTCTCTGAAAATGATTCAGTTCAAAACTATTAAGGACTTTCCTTCATTTAGCCAGTGACATCATAGTATAGATTCCGGTTGGTGAACCGTTACATATTTTTTTTAAATTTAAGGACATAAGCTTTTTAATGTATTTTTCCCCAGCAGTGAGAATAAAACACTAATTAGTCATTAGTGAAATTTGTACACATCTCTACCTGTGAAATGTAAAATATGATATCCTAAGAAAAACCTAGGAAATTGAAAATACATTTAAATCATATTCACAACAAAGATCAAAACATTGTGCTCTACACTGCCAATATTTATTAAGACTTCATAGGAAAATTTCTTAAATTTTAAATAAGCCTTTGTAGATACACTGATTCTTTCTTATAACCTTTTATTTGAAAGGGCGGTCACTTTGAAATTTATCTGGTAGTTCTTTTAAGACGACTGAATGCTAGATAAGACAGATATTTAACACATAGAAGAAGTTTTTTTTTCTTTTTATCAGTAGGAACTACTGAAGGAAGGATGTTGCTATCTAAATGCTGAGCTCTAATAGTGAAGTAAACATACTAAAGAAGACTGTAGAAAATTTTGTCACCAGTCAAACAAAATTAGCAAGTACTAAACTGTTTCACTCTCCAATGCTAAAGGATTGAGAGTAATTGCTCATAAACCCAGTCTTCAAAGAAAAGTAGAATAAATAAAATGCACAGCATTAGCCCTCTAAAAGAAAATGCTTTTCTTAAGATAGTAGATTCTTTATGTCGTTTCCCTTTGTGTAGCTTAAACCATTATGCGAGTACCCATAAGAAAAACTAAATCACACTGACTTGACCTGGCACTCACGCCTTAGAAACACAACATGTAAATCTTTCATTTTGCCATAGATAACGATGTTGTAGTCTAATGCCCTAATTATGTACCAATTATCTTACTCTGAGCTCCCAAGTATTATACTAATATGCTAGAATGTCTTCTTACCTTATTTGAACTTAAGCTGTGGATTCTATCACTAGAATAGCTGTGGGGTATTGGAAGTTCAGGATAGTCCTCAGCACCTTTGGTTGTATTCTTCTTGACAACTTCTACATAGGAAACAGGGAAGATGCCTTGTCTGTTGGTTCCTGGAATTTTACCTTCATACCAGTTTTGATCAACTCTTTTAAGAAGAACAATTCTATCTCCCTGTAATGAATAGTAGGAAAATGCGTTAGAAATAGACATGTGATAACATAAAAAGTTATAATTGTCTGTGTTTTTTAATAATAGTTTTCCGTCTGGGAAAGTCTTATACTTCGAGCATTTTGTTTTCGTTAGGAAAATGCAACTAAAGCCTCCAGAGCTCACTCCTGAATTATAGCTTATCAACGTATATACAGTGTAATCATCCACATATTAGAATCTTTCCTGAGGATACTTGGGCTTTACACATGTTCAGATTGGTCCTGTGGGAAATGTCATGTGTGAGTTATTTCAAAAAGTACAGTAGTTTAACCTGCAGTGTGTCGATGACAAGACCATCCTCTGATCACTGATAGATTCAAGGGGATGAGCTTCAGTGGGCAGAACCTCAGAAAGTGCACCAGAGATTGCGGTGACGGTGTGTCTGAAAAAGGGTCCAGAAAGCACTCTCTGGGAGGGATGAAGGTGGGTAGCACACCATTTTTCTTCTTTTATCTAATGTGCTGCATAGTAACAAAGGAGTAAAAGCTAATGGGATGGGGCATAGCTAGCATCCTAGATAATGCATAGCTGTGGCCAGGACTCCCGTCCACCTGGTCTGCATCAAGGCAGTGTAATACCAGCATCCGTTCTGACAGGTGGGTGGCCATGCCATAGTGGTCAGTAACGTTTTTCATAAAATCCCTGGCTTTGACAATGCTAGGACCTTCTATAGTCACTATTTCTGCGACCTGGAGGATCAAGCCAATGCCACAAAACCCAGTTTAAATTTGGAATTTGATATAACTTTTGAATAACAAGGCATCAGAAGAACAATATTTTGAGGTGTACTAAAGTGCTATTTTCTTTTGATGTTTTCCCTTGTACAGCTCCTGATATTTAGCCCGAGGCACCCCTGGGATACAATTTGGAGCTCGCCCAGAGGAAAAGTCTCTTGGCAAAGCTTTGCATCCCACAATGACCTCATCAGGAAGGACACGGGAGAGGTAGGCAGCAGTGACTCAGGGCAGCCTCACGGGGTCCTTTGCAGTAAATGAGGAAGATGCAAAAATTGTCTAAGGAAGAAGATGACCTGTCCTAGTCTTGAAACTATGCAGCCTTTCAAATGCACCAAGGAAGAAAGCCGCTTACCTTTCTCAGCGATAGCTCCACGTTGGTGTCAGCACTGAAATTATATTTGGCGACAGCTTCTCCGATTTCACCAGGCTGGGCTGGGGGAGGTGGTCTTGCGGGCTGTGCTTTTTCAGGAGGTGTGAGTTTCTACAAAGGAGAACAGTTCTCTTTATTCTTTGCCTTCTTTTTAAATTAATTTTGATTGGTGTATAGTTGCTTTATGATGCTGTGTTAGTTTCTGCCATGCAGCAAAATGAATCAGCTCTATGTGTCCATAAAGCCCCTCTCTTTTGGATTTCCTGCCCATTCAGGGCACCCAAGAGCTCAAAGTAGAGTTCCCTGTGCTGTAGAGTAAGTTCTCATTAGTTACCTATTTTATACATAGCATCAATAGCGTATGTGAGTCAATCCCAGTTTCCCAATTCTTCCCATGCCACTCCCCACCCCTCCTTGGGGGGAGTGTAAACTGATACAGCCCCGATGGAAAACAGTATGGAGGTGCCTTCAAAAATGAAACATAGAACTAACATATGACCCAGCAATCCCACTCCTGGAGATATACCCAGAGAAAACCGTAATTCAAAAGGATACATGCACCTTAACATTCATAGCAATACTATTTACAATAGCCAGGACATGGAAACAACTTAAATGTCCCATCAGCAGAGGAATGGATAAAGATGTGGTGCATATATCTAATGGAATATTACTCAGCCATAAAAATGAATGAAATTGGGTCATTTGTGGAGACATGGATGGTCCTAGAGATGGTCATACAGAGTAAGGTAAGAAGGAGAAAAACAAATATCATATATTAACTCATAACTGGAGTCTAGAACAATGGTACAGATGAACTTATTTGCAAAGCAGTTATCTATTCTTGACCCGGGGTGACTTTAGAAACAACAATCACATAGAGGGAGAAGGGGAAGGGCTTACCTCTACATATGAGATTGGGAAAATGCCCACTCTCCCGTGATGCTCTCCCTCATACCAGTTCTGATCAATTTTCCTGAGGATGTAGACAGTATCTCCTTTCTTAAATGACAGCTCCCTGGAAGAGATACATTTAAATTTTTTTGTGTGTGTGATGTACAGCAGTTATTCTTCAGATCAGCATTCTCACTGGATCTGCATTTGGCTGGTTAATGTACTTCCAGTATTGAAAAAAAGTCTGTTGAGCCCAGTTAGCTAAGAATGCTCCTTGAAAAATTTTTAGAATTCATTTGAAACATTATCATTTTAGAAATGATTGAAAAAGAGCAAATATAAACATCATGTCTGATTTAAATCAAAGGCAGATTAATATGAAATTCAAAGGTGGGGACAGATGATTGCTATCTACTCTTTGATTTATGGGAGAAGAGTTGTGATGCCTGCCATAATGCTGGGTTTAGTCTGCAATAATTTTTATTTGCCCTGAAGTTAGCTAGTTAGTTACTTCTCTCTCTTTGTCTCCTTTGTCTCCTCCTGTGAGCTTGCTTACAATGAGGAGACCAATATCATTTAGCCTTAGCACACAAGTGCCAACATGAGAAAAAATTTTATTTGTGGTTCCTTGAAGCTGGTTGACAGGCATTTAAGTAGAGTGTCTTGATAATGATTTTATCTTGTGGAGCAGAAAAGATTTTATACTTTGATTTTTCAGTGAGGTACAATGAGAAAAAATTTTAAAATGTGGAGTATAATTGACATGTAATATTATGTTAGTTTTGGATGTACAACATAATATTTGTGTATATTTAAAAATGACCACCACAATAAGTTGAATTAACAGTCACCACATATAGTTCCCATTTTTTTTTATGTGAGAACCTTTAAGATTTATTAGAAACTCTCAAATATGCAGTACAGTATTATGAACTATGGTCACAAAGATCAATTTGTTTCAAGTGCAAAGACATGCACAGATTGCTTGTACCCTCCTTTATGTTTTTTTGGTTTTTAAATATAAAAATAATTTCAAGAAAGTAAGTATGCTTTTCCATTTTGACTGTTTCTAAGGAGACAGTAGGTAGATTGGGGTGTTTAAGTTATAAAGACATTACTCATCATGAAGAATTCATGCCTAAATTCTCACCCTCACTGCTATAGTTTTTCATGGCTTCATCTCCCAGGTGATTGTGTCTCTGTGTTATTTTGTCTTCACAATTATGTCTCGTTGAAGGGTACTTATTTTGGATCTTTTGCCAAGAGCCCCACAGTCCCACACATCTGCCTTCCCACTCCCAAATCTTCTGTGTTGTTTTGTTCAGAATCTTGAGTTGGAGCATTTATGTGTGCAGAGTATATAACACAGAGAGGTTTATATTAAGTGTAGAATATTTCACATTGATTAAAAGAATTAATTGAAAAAGGTCACATAATTAAAAGAATTATCACACATATAGAAGTGCTAAAATCTTCACAATGGAAGTGTGTTAAATTTTCAGTAACCCTAAAAGCAAAGAAGATTCACAGAGCCTTACATTCAAATACAGTACTTCCCTCTTCATGCATATGCCTAATATAGAAAAGAAAAACCGAAGTGTTTTCATGTTTACAATCCAACAGTTTTATTTATACTAAGTACATTTTATATCTGGAAATGAGATGAGAAAGCTTAGCTTTTAAAAAACAGTAATTAAGAGACAGCTAATTATTTTTCTTTTAAATATGAAAAGATATCCTTTCTATGTGTAAAGACTTGTATTTAAAATTTTCAAGTCATCTGGGAAAAAAGGACAGTGGTCTCACTTTTCAGTTTTCAAAATTATGTTCATCTCATCTAAGAGCTAGAATTTCTAGCATTTGTTTGTAGACTTTTTGATGATGGCCATTCTGACCAGTGTGAGGTGATAGCTCATTGTAGTTTTGATTTGCATTTCTCTAATAATGAGCAATGTTGAGCATCTTTTCATGTGTTTGTTAGCCATCTGTACATCTTCCTTGGAGAAATGCCTGTTTAGGTCTTTTCTCCACTTTTTGATTGGGTTGTTTGTTTTTCTGCCATTGAGTTGTATGAACTGCTTGTATATTTAGGAAATTAATCCTTTCTCAGTTGTTTCATTTGCTATTATTTTCTCCCATTCTGAGGGTTGTCTTTTTACCTTGCTTATAGTTTCCTTTGCTGTGCTAAAGCTTTTAAGTTTCACCATTGAGAATAATGTTTGCTGTAGGCTTATTATGGTCTTTATTATGTTTAGGTAGGTTCCTTCTATGCCCATTTTTTGAAGAGTTTTAATCATAAATGGGTGCTGAATTTTGTCAAAGGCTTTTTCTGCATCTATTGAGATGATCATATGATTTTTATTTTTCAATTTGTTAATATGGTGTGTCATATTGATTGATTTCCGTATATTGAGAATCCTTGCATCCCTGGAATAAACCCAATTTGATCATGGTGTATGAGCTTTTTGATGTGTTGCTGAATTCTGTTTGCTAAAATTTTGTTGAGGATTTTTGCATCTATGTTCATCAGTGATATTGGCCTGTACTTTTCTTTTCTTGTGTTGTCATTGTCTGGTTTTGGTATCAGGGTGATGGTGGCCTTCTAGAATGAGTTTGGAAGTGTTCCTTCCTCTGCAATTTTTTGAAAGAATTTTAGAAAGATAGGCATTAGCTCTTCTCTAAATGTTTGATAGAATTCTCCTGTGAAGCCATCTGGTCCTGGGCTTTTGTTTTTTGGGAGATTTTTGATCACGCCTTCAATTTCAGTGCTTGTAATTGGATTGTTCACAATTTCCATTTCTTTCTGGTTCAGTCTTGGAAGATTGAACTTTTCTAAGGATCTGTCCATTTCTTCCAGGTTATCCATTTTATTGCCATATAGTTGTTCATAATAGTCTCTTATAATCTTTTGTATTTCTGCATTGTCTGTTGTAACCTCTCCTTTTCCATTTCTAATTTTGTTGATTTAATTCTTCTCTCTTTTTTTCTTGATGAGTCTGGCTAAAGTTATGTTAATTTTGTTTATCTTCTCAAAGAACCAGCTTTTAGTTTTATTAATCTTTACTATTGTCTCTTTCATTTATTTTTTGTTTATTTCCGCTCAGGTCTTTATGATTTCTTTCCTTCTGTTAATTTTGGGGTCTTTTTGTTCTTCTTTTCCAGTTGTTTTAGGTGTAAAGTTAGGTTGTCTATTTGTTTTTCTTGTTTCTTGAGGTAGGATTGTATTGCTATAAACTTCCCTCTTAGAACTGCTTTTACTGCGTCCCATAGGTTTTGAGTTGTGTTTTCATTGTCATTTGTTTCTAGAAATTTTTTGATTTCCCTTTTGATTTCTTCAGTAACCTGTTGGTTATTTAGAAATGTGTTGTTTAATCTCCATGTGTTTGTGTTTCTTACAGTTTTTTTCTTGTAATTGCTATCTAGTCTCATAGTGCTGTGGTTGGAGAAGATGCTTGATACGATTTCAATTTTCTTAAATTTACTGAGGTTTGATTTATGACCCAAGATGTGGTCTATCCTGGAGACTGTTCCATGTGCACTTGAGAAGAAGGTATATTTTGCATTTGGATGGAATGTCCTGAAGATATCAATGAGGTCCATCTCATCTAATGTATCATTTAAGACTTGTGTTTCTTTATTAATTTTCTGTTTTTATGATCGATGATCTGTCCATTGGTGTGAGTGGGGTGTTAAAGTCTCCTACTATTATTGCGTTATTGTCAATTTCTCCTTTTATGTCTATTAGTGTTTGTTTTATGTATTGAGGTGCTCCTATGTTGGATGCATAGATATTTACAACTGTTATATCTTCCTCTTGGATTGATCCCCCTTGATCATTATGTAGTGTCCTTCCTTATCTCTTGTAATATTCTTTATTTTAAGGTCTATTTTGTCTGATATGAGGATTGCTACTCCAGCTTTCTTTTGCTTCCCATTTGCATGGAATATATTTTTCCATCCTCTCATTTTCAGTCTAAATGTGTCTTTAAGCCTGAAGTGGGCTTCATGTATGGGTCTTGTTTTGTATCCATTCAATCAGTCTGTGTCTTTTGGTTGGAGCATTTAATCTATGTACATTTAAAGTAATTATTGATATATATGTTCCTATTGCCATTTTCTTTTTTTTTTTATATTGCCATTTTCTTAATTGTTTGGGGTCGATTTTGTATATCTTTTTTCTTCTTTTGTATTTCTTGACTATATAAGTCCCGTGAACATTTGTTGTAAAGCTGGTTTGGTGGTATTGAATTCTCTTAACTTTTGCTGGTCTGAAAAGTGTTTTATTTCTCCATCAATTTTGAATGAGATCCTTGCTGGGTACAGAACTCTTTGTTGTAGATTTTTCCCTTTCAGCACTTTAAATATATCCTGCCATTCCCTTGTGGCCTGCAGAGTTTCTGCTGAAAGATCAGCTGTTAAGCATATGGGGTTTCCTTTGTATATTACCTGTTGCTTCTCCCTTGCTGCTTTTAATATTCTTTCTTTGTGTTTAGTCTTTGTTAGTTTGATTAATATGTATCTTGGCATGTTTCTTCTTGGGTTTATCCTGTATGGCACTCTTTGTGCCTCTTGGACTTGATTGACTATTTCCTTTTCAATGTTGGGGAAATTTTCAACTAAAATTTATTTTTAATAATCTCTTCAAAAATTTTCTCATACCCTTTCTTTTTCTATTCTTCTTCTGGGACCCATATAATTCAAATGTTGTTGCATTTGATATTGTCCCAGATTTCACTGAAGCTATCCTCAGTTCTTTTTATTCTTTTTACCTTATTCTGCTCTTCAGAAGTTACTTCCACTATTTTATCTTCCAGCTCACTGATTTGTTCTTCTGCTTCAGATATTCTGCTGTTGATTCCTTTTACAGTATTTTTAATTTCAGTAATTGTGTTGTTTGTCTCTGTATGTTTATTCTTTAATTCTTCTAGGTCTTTGTTAATTGATTCTTGTATTTTCTCCATTTTGTTTTCAAGGTTTTTGATCATCTTTATTGTCATTATTCTGAATTCATTTTCAGAATGAAATGCCTATTTCCTCTTCATTTATTTGGACTTGTGTTTCTGGTTTGTTCCTTCATTTGTGCAGTATTTCTCTGCCTTTTCATTATTTTTTTACACTTACTGTTTGAGGTCTCCTTTTCCCAGGCTTCAAGGTTGAATTCTTTCTTCCTTTTGGTTTCTGCCCTCCTCAGGTTGGTCCAGTGGTTTGTGTGAGTTTTGCATAGGGTGAGACTTGTGTTGAGTTTTTGTTTGTTTTTCCTCTGATGGGCAACACTGAGTGAGGTAGTAATTCTGTCTGCTGATGACTGGGTTTGTATTTTTGTTTCGTTTTTTGTTTAGAAGAGGCACCCTGCACAGGGTGCTACTGGTGGTTGGGTGATACCAGGTCTTGTATTCAAGTGGTTTCCTTTGTGACAGTTCTCACTATTGGATATTCCCTAGGGTTAGTTCTCTGGTAGTCTAGGGTCTTGGAATCAGTGCTCCTACTCCAAAGGCTCAGGGCTTGTTCTCATGTCACGGGAGGCTCATCTTTCTAGAAATCTCATTTTGATAAGTTTATTCCACCCCCAACCCCCACCACCTTTGAATAGTGGCCACTGACAACTGTTGGGAATAGCATTTTATCTCTTTTTCCTAGTTAACAATCTAGACACTATGTATTCAGTTAAAAAAAAAAGCATTTAAAACAGATTATTTGAAACAAATGTCTATCTCTTGTTTGTTAAGATGTTAGGCACAAGAAGTACTCATATTTCTTGCAGGACATTTTATCCTGCCCAGATTATCTGTAAGATATTTGGTTTCTGCCCAAAGGTCCCTGATACATGGTCCTGTCCAAAACCATTTGGCATGGACAGATACACTCATGGACAGTTTGGATAGGACCAGACTTCAAGTACCTCTGGGCCAAATGTCTGCTAACCCTCACATCTAGCTCGTGGTTAAGTGACTTCACAATGTGGCCAGTCCTCCTGAAACTTTCAGAGCTGTCTGGATGTGTGAGCCTTTTTTTGAAGCTGGATGAGTCATCCACAACTGTGATTTTTGTGTCAGGTATGTAACTACATTGGGGGTGATGCATAACCACTCTTTTACATTTCCTGAGAACAGAAAAAGAGGAAGGTGATTAAGTTGCAATCAGATAAATTTATTGATACTATGAGGGAAACAATTTTTTTTCTTACTAAAGAATGGGAAAGTCTAAGGATCTCTTCAAGAAAATTAGAGATATCAAGGGAACATTTCATGCAAAGAAGGGCTCAATAAAGGACAGAAATGGTATGGACTTTCTGTCCGGAAGCAGAAGATACTAAGAATAGGTGGCAAGAATACACAGAAGAACTATACAAAAAAGATCTTTATGACCCAGATAATCACAATGGTGTGATCTCCAACCTAGAGCCAGACATTCTGGAATGTGAAGTCAAGTGGGCCTTAGTGAAGCATCACCATGAGCAAAGTTAATAGAGGTGATGGAATCCCAGTTGAGCTATTTCAAATCCTAAAAGATGATGCTGTGAAAGTGCTGCACTCAATATGCTAGCAAATTTGGAAAACTCAGCAGTGGCCACAGCACTGGAAAAGGTCAATTTTTATTCTGACCCCAAAGAAAGGCAATGCAAAGAATGCTCAAACTATTGCACAATTGCACTCATCTCACACACTAGTAACATAATACTCAAAATTTTCCAAGTCAGGCTTCAAATTACACGAATCATGACCCTCCAGATGTTCAAGCTGGATTTAGAAAAGGCAGAGGAATCAGAGATCAAATTGCCAATATCCGCTGGATCATTGAACAAGCAAGAGACTTCCAAAAAATATATATACTTCTGCTTTATTGACTATGCCAAAGCCTTTGATTTTGTGGACCACAACAAACTCTGGAAAATTCTGAAAGAGATGGGAATACCACGTGATCAGCCTCTTGAGAAATCTGTATGCAGGTCAAGAAGCAACAGTTAGAACTGGACAGGGAACAGACTGGTTCCAAATAGGAAAAGGAGTACGTCAAGGCTGTGTATTGTCACCCTGCTTATTTAACTTATATGCAGAGTACATCATGAGAAATGCTGGGCTCGATGAAGCACAAGCTGGAAACAAGATTGCCGTGAGAAATATCAATAACCTCAGATATGCAGATGACACCACCCTTATGGCAGAAATTGAAGAACTAAAGGGCCTCTTGATGACAGCGAGAGAGGACAGTGAAAAAGTTGACTTAAAACTCAACATTCAGAAAACTAAGATCATGGCATCCGGTCTCATCACTTCATGGCAAAACAGATGGGGAAACAGTGGAAACAGTGACAGACTTTATTTTCTTGGGCTCCAAAATCACTGCAGATTGCGACTGAAGCCATGAAATTAAAAGACTCTTACCTCTTGGAAGGAAAGTTATGACCAACCTAGAGTGAGTGAGTGAAGTCGCTCAGTCGTGTCCAACTGTTTGCGACCCCATGGACTGTAGCCCACCAGGCTCCTCCATCCATGGAATTTTCTAGGCAAGAGTACTGGAGTGGGTTGCCATTTCCTTCTCCATGGGATCTTCCCGACCCAGGGATCGAACCCGGGTCTCCTGCATTTTGGGCAGACGCTTTACCGTCTGAGCCACCTAGATAACATATTAAAAAGCAGAGACATCTAGTCAAGGCTATGGTTTTTCCAGTAGTCATGTATGGATGTGAGAGTTGGACTATAAAGAATGCTGAGTATTAAAGAATTGATGCTTTTGAACTGTGGTGTTGGAAAGACTCTTGAGAGTCCCTTGGACTGCAAGGAGATCCAACCAGTCCATCCTAAAGGAAATCAGTCCTGAATATTCATTGGAAGGACTGATGCTGAAGCTGAAATTCCAATCCTTTGGCCACCTGATGCGAAGAGCTGACTCATTGGAAAAGACCCTGATGCTGGGAAAGATTGAGGGCAGGAGGAGAAGGGGACAACGGAGGATGAGATGGTTGGTTGGCATCACCGACTCAATGGATGTGAGTTTCAGTAAACTCTGGGAGTTGATGATGGATAGGGAGGCCTGGCGTGCTGTAGTCCATGGGGTCACAAAGAATCAGACACGACTCAGCGACTGAACTGAACTGGAAGTTCTGGGATGGGTTCCATGGGTGATTACTCACTCCACTTCTCTAAAGGTGCATAATACAATTAGATTTTATTGGTTGAGGAAGACCTTGGTGGGGGTAGTGCAGGTGCCCTTGAGAACAACTGTGTCATTTACACTCCCATGGGCAGCGTGCGGGAGAGTGGGTCTCCCCGAACCTGTGCCACGTTCACACTTTCACAATGAGGACTTGGCCATGGAGGAGGGTGAGGGGCTTGGCACTTGGAGCAGATGAAATCCATGACACAATCGCCACCACAAACACCTTTCCTCTGCACTGCGCCTCATCTGTCTTCCGATGCTTGCTTCTAATTCAGATTTCTCAAAAAGCTTCTGAGCCCTGAGCATATTTTATACATCCTGTCATTCCTCAGGGCTTCACACATCTGAGGACACATTTGACTGTCATAAAGAAGAAATGAAATTTACATGTTTTAAATCATTATTTTATAAAACTGACATGCCTTGTATGAATGATCACACCACACCCGGAGAATAGCAGTGGAGGCAGAGCAGACGTTACTTCTGTCATCAGAAAAAAAGGCTGTAAGCTTTCCTTCGTGTTCAACATCTTCCCCTCTAAACAGCATTTTCTTATTCATTTCCAAATTTTGAGTGGTTTTATTGTTTATATGTCTTCTGCCAGAGATGAATTCTTTATTAATTCATATAATATGCATTTTTATGAACAAATGCTTTGATTGTTGTATATATTCCATCTAAACGGCATAGTGTAATTTAATGCCAGCATCTTGAATTCTATTGGACACCAAAGTTTCTTAAGTTAGGCATGTGACATGGACCATAACAGAGCTGGAAGTCTTGCTCCTATTTAAACCTCCTCATGTGCTTACTATTAGCTTTCCCTAACCATGTGCCCATCTGATTAACAAGTTCCTAAAAAAAAAAAGTGAAAAATTCCAACACAATTTGTGTTGTGAAAACACCAACATTAAAAGACCACAGGATAGGGAATTCCCTGGCAGTCCAGTGGTTAAGACTCCGTCTCCATGCTTCCAGTGTGGAGGGTGGAAGGTTGGATCCTTGGTTGAGGAACTAAGATCCCACATAACCCTCATTGTGGCCAAATAAATAGATAAAATGTTAACCTCTTAGAAAAAGAAAAAAAGGCCACAGGATAAAAATGTACTCAGAGTCTTTAAGCTTTGAGTATTGAGAAATGGAGATTTTTACTATAGGAGTCTTTGTGCACAGTTTTAGTCTTTAACCACAAACTATCCTTGATATAGTTGGATAAATAAATGTTATCAAATTCTCTAAGTGTTAATTACTCCCAAACACTTTATTTTTACTTCATTCTTGACATGAAAATTCTAGAAACAAAGATCCTTAATTTCATTTTGTTTTCCTATCCTTTAGAACTCACTGTGCTCTAACATATTTAGAGTAATTTAAAACTCAATGTTTCTCTATGAAACTCAAAATGAAAATAAAATTACCCCCACATCCCAATGAATTCAAAAAGAACCATTTAATTAGAGTTGATTGCTGAATTGGGAACTAGGTCTTATTTGTAACACATCACAGTGCAATATTTGTCTTTTAAAGTATTATTTATGTATTTAAAGTCAGCTTAAATCATATGATGAATGCTTATACTTACTTGGATGTCTGAGCCTTAAAATCGTAAACAGCTTTTGCAGGCAGTTTCTGAAAAGGAAGGAAATAGTTGATGTTAACTTAACGTTTTGGATTTCCTATTAAAAAAGCAGTTTCATATGAATTAAAGAGAAATGAAACTTGAACGATTGATTAAACATATACAATGTAAATCATATATGCAATTTATAGGCAAATCAATTGGTTCTTTTTAGATAGTTAAACTATAACAGATGACCTATTCACCATAATTGTTGAATATCACATTTCGTCTTAGGGACTAAGGTAAATGCTTGCCATGAATGGGGAATAAAATGCCTGCAGAGGATTTGGTCCTAGGTATATTTTGGTTTTCCCGGGATAACTGTGGAAGGTCAATTGTTCTGTGTCTTAAGTATTGACACAGCTTCTGAACCATAATTAAAGGACTGGAAAAAGTCACAAAGGAAGTCCTTACTCCTTTTACTAAACACTTGTTAACATAGTAGCAAAGAAATATAGCCAAGTTATCGCGGAGAGGCTAGTCAGTGACCAAATTATGGGCTTGGTCATTTTGTATTCCCTGGTGAGTTCAGGAATTCTTTAGCACCCAGTAAACCAGCTGCTCATCTTTGAGTCCTGAGCAGATTCAACACAAGCCTACACTCGCGTTGTGGGGCTCACAGATCTGCCTGGGGCACCAGTAGCTACTCACTTGAGCTCTTCCTCTCTGATGCCAATCATCCTCTCACCTCTCTTTCCCTGTGACTCTGGTGTACTCTGGGCATCCTGGATCATTCCTGACTTTGGATCCTGGATCCACAGGCACTGGACTATGTTAGACACTGGTAGAAAACTTTCTGGAGTGGCTGATGGTCCAGGACCAGCCTTCTGTTTCCATCAAACATTCCTGGCTTCAAGATAGTACAAGCTAGACCATCAGCCCTGGCTCAGGACCACGGACAAGAGCCAGCAGGTTGGGGGTTCCCAGGAACAGCGGGTTTTTTCAGGGATCCTCCCCAACAAAAGCAGGGCAGCAAAAATTATTTCCATGGAATTGGTACTGATTTGCAGCACAGCGGATAGGACTGTCCCCTTCATCGCTGGGCCAGAAATCTGGATAGGGAAATCTTTCTTCCTCCAAGGGGTGGCCCAGCTCAAGACTGTTTCAGACAAAGCTATTAATTTACAGGTCAGGTCAAGACTCAGAGAGTCACTCTCAAAAATGGACTACAACTGGGGGAGACGTGCTGCTCAGGTTAGAATGCAGTGTCTTCAAATCCTTTGCTCAGGCTTTAGGGAAAACTAATTTCTAGTTTCTCCATCAACACTTTTATGTTTTTAATCTGGTCTTACTGGTTTTGGACATAACTTCAACTGGCAAATGCTTTCTCAAGTACATTGCTGAAAAAGACTCAAATGCCACTAAGCAGGCTACCTCTTTTTCTGGAGTTCCTCTTCTTTCCCTGGGTGCGGTTCTTCCAAAATCAGTCAGTGTGGCCGAGTAACTCCTAGGGGACTCGTGGTCTGTTGGAAAGGACAGGGCCAGAGTGAGTATCCACATAATCAAAAGCAGACTTGATGAGCCATTTCCCCTGGGGGCAGCTATATTCCCCTTCAAATGTGGAGAGACACCACAATGGAAAGCACAGGCCTAAAACTCACAGGTAATTACAAAGATGTGATATAAGACACAAAACAACACTTTTAGAGGAAAAGTATCCAAGATTTCAGAAGTATTATAAATATAAAGGTTTAATTGTTATGCTGCTGATATAATTATGCTGCAGCACCTACTATAGGTAGTTCAAAGTTACATGGATTTTTCCTCTCAAAGATTTAATACTTGCTGTTCTTTTTGCCACCAGTTTATAATTTCTATGATAGAGCCTAAAGAAGATGAAGATGGGAGCAACCATTTATAAAAACTGAAGCATGTTATGGAACAATTTAAGGATGCAGAAATGAAAAACAAAAAAATATGATGATGGCAGAACTACATCGTGGCCATTCTCTTCTCTCTTTCTCTCTGTGTTTAATGACTTATTGAGTCTGAAGATGACATCTTAAGGTTTAAGGCTTAATAGGCCATCATCTGTTTGCTTCCTTTGTGCTCAACTATCTTATTAGAAAGTGAATATCTATCCCCAGAAACAAAAGGATAAAAATTTTTTAAACAGAAAGTGTCATATTGGTGGCCAGTGACTTATGAACTATTGCATTGTTTCAGTTCACTCTAAAACAAAATATACATAATTAATTGCATTATAAAATAAAGATGCAAGCATCTATTAATGGTATCTTTATATCTTATACTTTTATATGTAGAAATGTAAATGACATTGAATAACTGGAAAAGGTTATTTATGAAAACATTACATTATGACATGTCTCAATCAGTGAAAATTTCAAGTTGTTGACTTTGATTTTAAAAATGTAGATTTACTATTTTTGAAGCATGTCATATGGTATAAATGAAAACAAACATAAATACTAATAAGATAAGCAAATTTGTGCAATAGTTACTAACAGTCGGGTTATATATGTTACATTAATTTGAAATATGAATTATGACTCTTTTTCCCTATAGATATTCTGTGCTCAGATTTTGTGGAGTTTGCTCAGTGTTCAAATGTTCTGTGCTCAAATTCTGAATTGCATGAGTTTGAATCTTGTTTCTGCTACCTACTCATTGTGTGACTTTGGTCAGATTTCTTGTCCTCTCTGGGTGTTAATTTCCTCATCTGTAAAACAATGCTTACAGTAATATCTATCATCTAGGTTTATGCCATGTTAAGTAGAAAATGTGTATAAAGCACTTTGGAATGTCTGGTGCATAAAAAATTCTGTGAACAATCTAAGTTTCAGCCTGGAAGATTCATTCCAGCTTCTTAAAATTTACACAGGAAACAAATGCACTTTAAGCATTAATGAAAAGGATTGGATAAAAATATCAAAACATCCTGTGTTTTCCAGTAATGTATACCTGAAAAAATGTCCTCTGTATTTGAGTTGCTATTTGTCCTTGTGTCCCACTTTAAGGAATCTATGAAAATGAAGTTGAGAGTCACTTTTATCCTAAATAATCTAATTCAAATGTCGGTACAGGATTGTTTTTAGCAGAAATAGAAAATAGATTAAATAATGAAGAGGAAGAGAAAATGAATAAATGAATGATGGAAATGAGACTTTTACATATACAGCTTAAAGATATATTCACAAAAATTTTATCAGTTGTATCTTTTAAAAGAAGAAAGTTATTAAACAAGTCCTATTTATTCTCTTTTAATCATGCATCAATTACTACATTACATATTTTGGTTTTGCTTCCTGAGTGTGCTGATTTTACATCTTCTATATAGAATGTCAGCAAATTATTTATTGGGTGAGTGACTAGAAAGTTAATAGAATCAAGGAAAAGATATTAAACTACTGATTTTGATTCATTTTACACAACAAAAAAGGAGCTAATGCAAAGTTGTCAGTTTCTTAAGGATACTGATACTCAATTATGATTTCTGTCTTGAAATTCTTATAAACTGATAAAATAAGTTTAATTTGTCATTTCTATGTAACAGTTATCTCAACCCTAACATCCAGCTGCAAAACTATTTATCCCTTTTGATTCTGAATGAGTAAATTTTTGTGATCACTTTAAGCCACACATCAAGTCCAAATATCCCAGGGACAAATGAGAACTATTTGACACATAATGAATCCAGGTGGTCACAGAGCTCAAGAATGATGAGATGTAGGAATGAAACATGAAAGAACTGGAGGGTGTGTATGTGAACCACAAGGGAAAAGAAAGAAAAGTTGATCCACCTTGGAGGTTCAGTGCACTGTCATGGTCTTGGTGGTGGTAGTTGTTGTTGGTGTCGTCTTGGAAGGAGGCACTGTGAGGCATTCTCCCACAATCGTTCTGGTACAACGGGCAATGAATAGCACCTTCTTGAGGCAGTGGGTGAAAAGGCTGGTGCATGGGGCTCCTTTTTAGGGCTTTGAGTGATGAATTCCTTTCAGGAATATCTGGCAGCAGTTCACTGATAAGACGGTGCAATATACTGTTGTCTGGCAAACTTCCCCTTCTCTTTTCAGCCTTAATTTGGTCACAGATGTCCTTAAGGGCAGAGTCCAGAGCCTCAAACACAGATGTCTTACATTTTGCCTTTTCCATCTGTTTTTTGGGAGTTGAATTTTTTTTCCTCCGGAAAGGCACAGGACTGACCAGAAACGCCAGTTTAGAAAGGCCAGGGTCCATGTCTTGTCTTCTGGGCTCATCAATGTTTTCGTGTTTAGCTCTTTCGTGTTTTAACATTGTGGTAAATCGAGTGTAGGAGGCAGGGCATCTGCCTTTGCAGGAGCTGATGAGGTGCCGGTGATGATGGTGGTGATGGTGGTGATGATGGTGGCTGGATCCATAAAAACTTTCAGAGGATGTGAAAGAAAAGTGATCAAAATCACTCTCGCTGCAGAAGGACGATCCTTCAACGTGAATGTAATCACTGTGGTCAGACACAACTCCATCCTGGTCGCTATCAGAAAACTCCACATGGGTTCTCGGCTGGTCGTCACTGGTGACTTCAATGTGGATGGGCACCAGGGCTGTAGACTTGTAGCTTCGCGGTACCTGAGAAGGGTGTCTACCTTGATTCTCTTCCTCCAGCAAAGACTCAATGGAAAACCGCCTTTGGGGACACAAACCATTCTGTTGCGGCTCCAGGGTTACAGGAGATAACATTTCATCTCCCAAATTCGGCATGGACTTTGACTTCTGGATCAACTTTTCAAATTCAGAAATGCGGGTGGGGACCATGTCCCTGGGCACCTCCTCGGTGGAAGACTGGCTCCATCCGTGGAGCAGGCCTTTGTGCTGCTGTTCCTTCTCATATTGCATTATTCTCGACTTGACGGAGCAGATGACCTCGGAGTTCATCAGGTCCTTGCGGTTGATGCGGTGCATTTTCTTGTACATCTTTAGGAAGCCCGGGGCGTCGTGGGCCGACCTGTGTCGGAGCCTTGATCTGCCGTTACTGCGGCCCTCCTGGATGTAGGGGGAAGCCCAGGTCACGGGGCAGCTCTCCTTGGGGTCCTCCTCGCATAGCAGAGAACCCATACTTTCCGACTTGGTTTTTGGGTCAGGCAGGCTGTCGCAGTCATCATTTAAAAGGTCGTCGCAACTACGGGATTTGATTTTGGGGGAGACGGTCTCTTCAGTGCTGCTCCAGACCTCTGCATTTTGCCGGGCCATCTGCCAGCCGTTTTTGAAAGTAATGGCCCTCTGCGAGTCTTGCGGGACATCTAGATGCTGTCTGTAAGTGTTACAGTAATCTAACTCATGGGAGGGGTGGCCATTGAGCCCTGAGAAACTGGAAAGGGATGGACACGTTTGGCTATCATCCCCACCTTTTAGTCCAAGGCAGCGTGGTGGAAGAGAGACATTGGAGAAGTTAAAAGGCTCGTGAAGAGGACAGCATGTCAGTTAGCATCAGATAGCACAGCAAAGAGAAAGCAGTTAGTGGGGTTCAATCCAGGAACCAAATGTCATATGTGTAGCTTCAACTTAGAGAAAAAAGTCTAATTCTAAAGCAATAAGCATAGCTTTGCAGACAATAGTTAACCAAACTGTGTATGGAAAGTAACTCGTATTGCTAAATATACTTATTTCCATTGCATACTTCATCCATCTTTCTGTGAATATGGTATGTCAAAAATCTAATAGTACCTTATAAGCCAACAGCATGACCTGGTAGTGATTTAAAGGTTTTGTAATTAAACATGTTATAGATTTAATCATCTTAATAGGATCAGAATTTGAGTCTTGTTTGATTTATAATAATACGGATGTAAAGAGTAATTTATACATTTTCATTTAATTAATACTCCAATAATGATATCAAATAATTTTTCATGGGCATTATATAGAAAAAGCTGTAAGACAGAATATTTTCCAGAATTGTAAAATTGAGTTCAGTTGCTATGAACTACTGCTGTTAATATTTTTCTAAGAAATAAACCAACTAGCACCTTTTTAAACAAACGAATTTACTCTTTGATTTCTCTACTTTCAACCTCTTACTAGGCAGGTTCCCATAAGGATAACTGGATATATTATAAAACTTTGATCAGAAGTAAATGCACTTGCTTTTTTCCAGGAAAGTTCTTTTTAAAAAATCATTTGCAATATAATAATGTAGAGCTAACCCTGATGGAAATAGTTCTTATGGAAATAGTCTTTTCTTTTGTGTTGCTGAGTGAATTAATAAATGACAGACCACATTACATCTAACGGGACATTTTTTTCTTAAAAATAAGCCTAGTGAAAGAAAATATCTCTATTGACAGCTCCTGCCTTCCCCAAATTCTTCAAAAGTACATAAACACATTAAGTAGCTATGTAGTATTTGGGAAAGGAAGTTAATACTCCCTGGGATAAGAGCAAATATCTAAAGTAATCAGAAAGAATCCTTTTAACTTTTTGCAGGAATCCAAGCATAGTGAGTCAATAGCATTTCATGACCTGTTGGTTTCTTTAGGATATTTGTTTGTATAAATGAGTAGACTCTGGTAAGTGTGCTTCTGATAATTTGAGGAATGGTATATCGAAAGGGACTTCCTCCCTCTGAATGCTGGAATCTGAATCTTCCAGTAAGTACAGCTTTACTAGGCCATGGACAAGAGTTAGCACCTCCTGCCTATACAGAGCCCCATCATCAGAACCAAAGATCCTTTCTCACAAACCAGCGAACTCTTAGCTTTAATTTTCTGTGGCAGCACTTTCAGTGCCTGCGTTTGGTATGTGTAGCTGAATCTCTGCTACTTTATGGAAACTTCATTTACAGCTCACTTTGTTTCACACTTCAAATTGCTTCTCTCTTCTGTTTCAACCCCAGAGGGTTGGAAAAGACCTTGGGTCCCTAAATCGTAGGTACCTATGGATCCTGGTTCAATCCTAGGTTTCTGCTGTGGGATTATTCTTGTTACAGTTGCAGTAATATGTAACTAAACAGAGACTTGAAGTAGTGACTGCTCCCTTTCAACACAATTCACTAAACTTCCAGAGAGGAGACAGGCCATATAGAAAAATGGCTTGGTGATAAACAAACTTCACAATTATGGACTGTTGTGAATTGAACACTATATTACATACAGAATGTGGATATTCTACTGTATGTATGAATACTGACCAAAGTATAAACCAAGTGATTAAAGAAACAACTTTCATAGGTTAGACAAACTTTTGTCTAGAATTAAATAATTTTTAAAAAACCAACCCAATTTATGTTTTAGGCAACAATGCTCTCTGTTGCTACTACTAATTTCTATTCTATAAATCTGATTAATTTTACTAGTCATAGAAACATAAGAAAAACCTGACAGCATGCAAATGTTTGTAAATGTAATCTTTTAGAAGCCTGACCATACATTTTTTGATACTTTAAATTTGTTTCAAATAACACATGTGATATATTTGGAGAAAAGAAAGCATTAACAGATGAGAGTCAGAGTCCTTTAAGACATTCAGAAGGTTTATCATCCTGACTTAGTCTGTGTATAGGAAAGCTATTGTTTTGAAGCTATATTTTATTAAAATAGTAACCCTAACCATCTCGGGTGGTCATCATTGGACCAGCTCTCCCAAGGTTAAAACGAACTACTGATTATTTACACGTCATTTATTGCCGCTCACCTTTTGCTCTTGATGGAGAAGAAGGAGAAGAACTAATGAAGGACTTTGTCAGGGTGGTGCTTGATCCTGGGAGGTCTGCTCGGCCTGGGCTAGTGCTCCTTGCACTTGGGTCCCCCAGGCCCCTGGGCGGCCCCACCGCAGGCTCGCTCCTCCTCCTTTTCCTAAAGTCGCTGGCCATGCTTGCAGAACTGCAAGAAGGAATCAGCTTCAGTTTGGCTGGTGTTGCAGGGATTCAGATGTGAACCAGAAAGACTAGTGGAAGGTGCCGGAGGTGGCCATGGAATGACTTCCCATGACCTTCATCCCCCAAATTGCATTTTTTAGGAATTTGTTCCTTAATATAAAAAACTATTTCTTTACACTCACCTCTTTGAAAATTAACAGGCCCATCTGCAAAGAGTGACAGATTCATTTCTTCCTTTACCATTTGGATATCTTTTTCTTTTTTTTTTTGTTTTGTTTTGTTTGATTGCTGTGGTTAGGACTTCCTAGACGTTATTTTTCAGAGCAGCTTTATGTTTATAGAAAAATTTATTGGGAAGTACAGAGAGTTCCCATGTACTCCCTTTCTCTTGCGTATGGTTTCTCCTGTTATTATCATCTTTTGTTAGTGTGGTACATTTCTTGCAGTTGATGAATCATATCAGTACATTATTATTAAATGTAATTAAAGCCCATAGTTTACATTAGGGTTCATGTTTTCTGCTGAATATCCTATGAGTTTGACAAATGTATAATGACATACATACATACATACATACATCCCTTACTGTTGTATCATATAGAGTAGTGTCATTATCGGAGACGGCAATGGCACCCCACTCCAGTACTCTTGCCTGGAAAATCCCATGGACGGAGGAGCCTGGTGGGCTGCAGACCATGGAGTCGCACAGAGTTGGACACGACTGAGCGACGCAGCAGCAGCAGCAGCAGCAGCAGCAGCAGTGTCATTATCACAAAAATCCCCGGGGCTCAACCCCTTCATCCCTGCCTCCCTATGACACCTGGTGGCCACTGATCTTTTTACTGTTTCTAGTTTTACCTTTCCCAGAATGTCATGTAGTTGGAATCAACAGTATATCATGTTTTCAGATTAGCTTCTTTCATTTAGCAGTGTGCTCTTAAGGTACCTCCATATCCTTTCATTGCTGGATAGCTCATTTCTTCATATCATTGAATAATATTCCATTATATGGATGCACCATTGTTTATCCATTCTCCTATTGAAGGACACCTTGGTCGCTTGCACATTTTGGCAATTATGAATAAAGCTACTGTAAAATCCATGTACAGGTTTTTGTATGAACATAAGTTTATAATCACCATTTAAAGTAAAAATTCTCCTATTAAAGTAATATTCTGTTACTGACAATTCAGTGTTATGATTTGTACCATACATCTTTTCTCCATATAGAGGAGTTGTACCAACATGAATATATCCAGAGGAAGGATGCCAAAATGGAAGAGATGATTGGAAAGAAGGAGGAAATCTGGTAAGACCAATTTCTCTTACTTCAAGCTTTCCGTAAGGCTTTTCCTAATCATTTTAGCTTTAAAGATCTTACACTGCAATTCCAACATTTAAGAATAACCAATAATCTGGTCATCAAATAAACTATTAGAGTCCTTTCACTTAGTTGTATTAAAAGATGTTGATAGTCTGTAAGGGCAGGGACTTTTTTTTATCATGGTTCTGAGTATAGCATTGTTTAAGACAAACATTAATGAATGAATATATACATCACATAGCATGCTGTCTGTCAAATCATTAGATAAAATTCCACCACCAGCAGCAGCAACAGTACAACAGGTCCTATGACCAAAGTATGCTATTTACTTTACTGACATTATTGTCTTATACAGCATGCATGCACAGTAACCTATGAGGTATTTCAGTGTTTTACAAATAAATTGAACCTACAGACTTTGCACGTATAGAGGTGGAGCCAGACCTCGGAATTTGTCTGCATTCTTCCCAAGAGGATGCCCAACTTCTATCATTATCCTGTCAGGGTCTGTGTGTCTTTATTGAAGTTAGATTAGAACTTTAAAATTCACATATTCTAGGTGCATACATAGTTGCACAAGATGTAAAAGGAGGAATTTGGCGAGGTCTTTTCTTAGTGACCTTAATGCTGTTAAATGGTACTCGTGAAACCAATGTACAAAGGATCCAGTTTACCAAGTTCTTCCTTTATGTTGATGGAAATTTGCAGAAGGGTAAATTATTCTTAAATATTTGTTGATGATATGATATGGCTGGGAGTTTGCATTTTTCAGTACTGTCACTGAACTGTGTCTGAAGTTCTGTAGTATTTTAAGGTAAGTGTGATATTGAAGGCCTACAGACAGAACTTGCCTTGGTAGTCTCTTAGGGCAGTTAGGACCTACAGGTAATTTGGGTTCAGTTATACTTTGTCCCTTGCTGACTGTGTAAACCTGGTATGTTATGAAGCCTAAGTTTCCATTTACTAGAGATAAAATGTAGATAATAGTACTTAACTCATAATTAAGAACTGAGTATATTTTATGTACTTAGAATGCCTGGTATATGGTAAGTCCTCATTTATCAGTTGTAACAGTATTTTGAGGACTTCCCTGGCGGCTCAGTGATAAAGGACACGCCTGACAATACAGTAGACACAGGAGATGTGGGTTTGATCTCTGGGTCAGAAAGATCCCCTGGAGAAGGAAATGGCAACCTGCTCCAGTATTCTTGCCTGGGAAATCCCATGGACAGAGGAGCCTGGTAGGCTACAGTCCATGGAGTCACAAAAGAATTGGACATGACTCAGTGACTAAACAGCAACAATAGCATTTTTATTTGTGTGGTCAGAGTATAATGAACAAACCTATGCAGAATATAATTTATAAAATTGCTTATAATTTACTATAATTTAAAAAAATGTATCCTCATCATATCATCTAACAGTATTGAAAATTAGATGTTTATAATCCTTATCTAAGGAGAAGAAAACTGAGTATGGAGGAGACAGGAAAGGCAAGAGTTTCTCGGCCTGTAAAGTGACCTAGAATTATTTCACTTAAACTTTATACATTCTTGAATATTTCCTCATATAAGACGATGCAGAAACAAGTTAAAACAATTTCATGAATTATGGTGCTTAAAATAAAGAAGAAGGATAGAAAATTTATCATTACTATTTCACTGAAAAAGAAATCACTGGCATAAAATATTCTGGTTGCATAATGTAAGGAGATTTTAAAAAAATTTTCACTTGGAGAATAATTGCTCTACAATGTTATGTTTTCACTGTACAACAATGTGAACCAGCTCCAAGTATACATATATGTCCTCCATTTGAGCCTCCCTCCCACCCCTCACCGCCTGTAAAGAGATTCTTACCTAGTGGGTCTTTCCAGGCTTCTGTCTATAGAAGATTGATACAATGAGGCCTGTTAAGACAGAAGGATAGTTAACATGAAAATTTTTACCATGGGAAAATTTTGTGTGTCCCTGGACATTAAATTAGGTATCCTAAAAAGAATATTGTCAAAAGTGACATTAAAAATACCATTTATTATGGGCATAAAAATGTTTTCCCAAAAAGAAGTCATGCAGCCTAATTTCTACTTTCTTCTTACCTACTTTCTCATCTGATATACAGTCATCCTTTGAGGGCAGTTGGTTCCAGGAGCTCCCCAAGGATACCAAAAATCTGAAGATCTCAAGTCCCTTATGTACAATGGTGTACTATTTGCATATAACCTACCCACATCTTTGGTATACTTTAAATCATCTCTAGATTACTTATAAAACCTAATGCAATGTAAATGCTATAGAAATAGCTGCTAGCATGGCAAATTCAAGTTTTGCTTTTTGGAAATTTCTGGATTTTTTTTGTGTGTGTGGGGGAAATATTTTTGCCCTAAGTTGGTTGAATCCATGAATGTGGAACCTACAGATATGGAGGGCCAACTGTAGAACAGTACTTTTCTCTGTGTAACTAAAAATATTCATAAATCAAACATTGCCTAGGGTGAGAAAAAGAAAAATTGCCCCTTCATGTAGAAACAGACTATAAACAGAAATTTCTCACATAAAGAAATGGTTTGATGTTTAAAGAAGTATTTGTAGCCATCATTCAGTCCTTATAAAGCATAAACCTTTATAAATGTTTGCCATATTGCCAGGTGTAATTTTTATGTAGACATAAAATTTAAGCAGAACTTCTTTCGTCTGTCAACATAAACATGACTTTTTAAATAAAAAACTACAGAATTTGGTTGGAAGTTAAACTACCTGGTCCTTGAATCAGGTACAGATTTGTATCTTTGAAATTATTTACATTCAGGGTTAGGTTAAAATAGAAGATTTAATGAATCAAAGTATAAGCTTTTCTTAAAAAGTGGACTTTTAATCTTTTAGTGAGAAAATCAGCTTTCAGTTGTCCATGGATATAGGAACAAAGAAAAATAGATACTATAAATTTGATAAATAATTACAAATGCTTATTGTATACACCATTTTCATACTCCTTCATTCTGAACAATACAGTGAAATAGATATTAACAATTTTTTGTTAGACATGGATTTGAGAGGCAAGTAGTTGTGGTATGATGTATGATGTCTGGGATGTCTAGGAAAATGCATACTAAGTATGTGTAGATATATACTGACAAGCCCCATTACACACAACTCTAAAATATCTTCTATTAACTATTATTTTCATTTAATTCTCTCTTACTGAATGAGAAAGGAATTGCCCCAAAACAAACAAAGCATCCCTATGCAAGAGAATACTACTCCCTCTTTTTAGACAGAGAAAAAGCATATTAGAATACTTTTAGTTCCTGTAAAATATTTAGATTCTGAGGTTCTCAACAAATAAAAAGATAGAAAAAAAATTGGTCTGCTAACTGGGTAAGTTTAAATGACTGTTTTAACTTGCTACTCTAACTTGGACACTGGAAGGGTGGAAAGATAAATACAAACAAGAAGGATGGAAAACAAGTAAATAAATAAAACCAGATAATTATATTCTGATTTATAAATATTAGTTCTTTGTGTTTGCAGAAGAGCAGCACCAAAGAGCCTCAGAACATCTGTGTGGTTCACAGCTTTCATGGGACACCCAACCACAGTGCCCAGTTGGCCAAAAAAAGTGTCCATTTGTGGACACTGTTAGAATACCCTTAAAGTGATCAGAAATTTTGAATCACTAGCTTGAGATGAGCCTAAACACTATTGTAATATGAAATAAAACATAGTGTAAGAAGTGGAGACTCCATGCTGTTAAATTGTGTTTTAGACTTACACAAAGAAGCTAAAATTATTCCTCCTCATGCTGGTTTCCACAAGGTAAAATATACTGAAACCAGTATTGTGATGTATGCTCAAAGGAAACGGTTCAGTATTAAATTATAAGGAAGCAATAAGAAGTTTAGATAGATGACTAAGAGAAAACCTTGTATATGATTGGTACTCATACTGAAATGGAAATTGTCTTCAGAAAGGAGGTACCTGTTTTACCTATTATAAGCTACTTAGTATTTACATGTTACCATTATTGTAATACATCAAATGAAAGTCATTTAGTAAAGTACCGACATTGAGTCTAAGTGATCATGTGTTAAACTTTGCTTAAAAATCCTTACTTGTTCCTTATTAATGTCAGTTTCTCACTGATACTTATGGACTAAAAACGTGTTATTCATGGCATATACTAGGCACTGAATAAATGGTAGCTAGGTTGATGTCCAATCAATTACAAATTTTACATGAGAAATGTTTTACATGAGGTTATTAGAGACAGATTCAGTACCTTATCAGAGTATTTTTTAATACTGAAAAACCATGATGTGAAGTTAATAATATAGTTAATATGTTATCAGAACAAATAACACCCTCTTCTTAGTCCCAAGGAGAAGATGAAAAATCAGTTTAAATATCCAAGTGCGTCTATATGTGATATTTTTCATCACTACCATTAACATTACAGAATGCATAGAATTAATTTTCTCCTAGTTTTACACCAAGTATTATTCTGTAATATTAATTATAGAAATGTATTTTACAGAAATCTAGAGTTTTTAAGGAATAGTATAACTTGTATAATAGTATAAACAAATAAAACAAATAATTTGTATCTAAAAGGTTTTAGTTCTTAGTACATCTCTTAGAAGTGCTAAGAAGTATGGTATAAAGGAAGGTTAGGAGATGTTTTTTATCTTTAATTTGCCATCATATTATCATCTAATTTTGGATGTGTTTCTTAAAACAGTTGGACTCTACTTTTCTTGACTGAAAAATGAGTGAGTTAGATACGGTGACCTCTGAATTCCATCTCAGTTCTCAATGAACTGCCTTAATAATAACCTGGAAATATTTGGCCATGATATCTAAGAGAAATATCTGACCTTATCGAATTCTGAAGTAAATCCTTTGACTGTTTGTATGTTGAAATGATACTCTTTCTTCAGACTCTATATTACTTTTTCTTTAATATATAAATATTTATACACTTCTCTGTTTTAACATACACTGTGATGCATACTTCAGGGGAAGTAATTTGGAATTGCAGATTGCTCCAGATAGTTGGGTATTTTGTCCTGCAACTGTGCCTGCAATTCCAGTTATCACCATTGTGTGTCAGTTGTACATGTGGCAGCATAGGATGTATCCTACTAGTTTTATTTTCTAGTTGTATATATTTAACTGAATTAAGACTTTTTGATAAAAATATTTATTGTTTTTTTCATTTATTTAGGATCACACAGAAACTACTATGAAAAACTACTGCAAAAGCTAGTTTACTCACTTTGCTCTCATCCTAGCTGCGTCTATGAATTCCCATGGGAGTTTTTTGTTTCTTATTCGCTAATGTTTAGACAACCATCACTTCTGCTTATGTCTACTAATGAGTCATAAATCTGCTTTCCAAAATAATTTCATTCTTCTTTGCAGAGAAAAACCTTTTGGCTCTGTATAATTTCTGCCTTCTTCATACTCTCTTTGACTAATTCAAATAATACTTTACATTGCCAGGCATAATATTTTTTATGTATCAGATTCTCATGAACATCATAGACAGAGATGGAAAATACATTTCTTTTCATATGCTAGTGATAATCTATTATAGTGGCTGCCTGGATCACAGCATTGAGAAGGATCAGTAATGTCTGCCAAGGGTGTAGTAATGTTTGCCTGGGAAGTTGTAACATGTGTGCCAGTTATTTGCCAGTCCTATTCTTGATTTTATCTGATGTTAAAATCTAGAAATTGTATCTATGAAAAAGAAAAAATTGAAGTAAATTTTAGGAATATATGAGACATAAAATATCTGATTATGGGACTTCCCCAGTAGTCCAGTGGTTAAGATTACATGTTTCCACTGTAGGGGATGTGATTTTGATCCATGATTAGGGAATTTCCTTGTGCCACATGGTATGGCCAAAAAAAAAAAAAAATCTGATCATCTAAGAATCTAAACTGTCATTCTGTACCGCCAAGCATGATGATAAAATGGTTCTGAGGAGATTTCCAGCTGTATTTTATTCAGTATAATCAGATATATGCAATAATGCTTTTTGATTATCACACTCAGATACCAGGATGCATTGAATAGTTCACCTGAAAGTAATGATTGGCATGATTTTTCACCTAAGAGCCAACAACTGCGATGTAATTAATGTCCAAGCAGTGATACTGTATACAACACAATGATGTGAAGATAGATTTTCAAAACCAGGTTATAGACACTTTAGTGAATCGTAAAACATGGATGTTCAGAATCACAGTAACAGTTCCTAAGAAAGAAATCTGAAAAAAGAAAGTAATTTGTTTTTTACCTCATTGGAAACACCAGGAGAATGATCTTGAACATAGTCCAGAGCCTTTTTAGGAGGCTGGGTGTAGATGCACCATATAAGCGGAAGTGTAGAGATGGAATGGAGGAGAATCAATGGCAGCAAGGAATGACCATGTGGAAAAGGTGACAATAGTTAGAAACAGTGCTGACAGCATCAGATACACATAAAAGAGTGACATGAACGGAGCGAAATGGCGAGGCGGGGGCGGGTAGCCCAGGAGGAAGAGTGCAATGCTCATAAATATTTTCAAGCACTGGGCAAAATTACTAGTGATTTGATTAGTATAAACTCATTTCATCAAATCAAAATTAGCACTCCTAGTCTCTAGCCACAGAGGAATGCAAGGTACATTAAAGAAACACCGAAGGAGCAGGTGGATAGCATGCTGGTGAGTTTCCACGTGTAGCTGAAAATGCTTGTAGAAAATGGCGATAATTTAGGCTCAGAACAGAAATCGGTTCTATCTCCTATGAACTGTCTAATCAACGGTAACAACACATTTACATTAAAGCTGGGAAATTTTTTTCTCTAAAGTAAAATGCATTTATGTGTGTTGTTACTGTTTTAGTCACTATGTTGTGTCC